CCAGTCTCTAAAAGTCCCCTTCCTGCTTCAACTGACTGGCACATGAAATACTCTTTTCTTTTTCTTTTCAATATAAAACACTAATGGAAAGGTTTGGACTTTAGTATTTGCCATAAACCATATAGTTTTAAATAATTTCCTTCTTATGGTAATTAATGATTTACATTTGTTCAATCATTTCATTTGTGAGCATGCAATGTAATTTGCACCCTGTGCATGCTCAACATTTTGGGAGAGATCTATGACTTTAAATCATCACAGGTATTGCGAAATACCGCATCATTCATGAGAGTCAGTGTCAAGCTGTGTGTAATAAAGTCCTATTAAGAGTCATTACCAGGGTTTTCCCGAATATTCCCATTAACTTTGACTCAGTGCTATTTGTATTTATTGGATCTGGTTGGCATAGAGGTTTGGTCTTGGTTCAGGTGAGTGTCACAGCTGTAAAACAGATTCAATCTGGGTGACGCCTTGTCAATAGTAAGCTGACTCATAGTGGGAATGCCTGAGTTGCTGAAGAGGCTTAGCTGAATGAAAGCGCCTACGGAAAAGCTCCTGGTTATTGCGTCACTGCTGAGACACTTTTTGTTAGTTGGCATACTTTGTGTTTGTATGTCTTACTGTAAATGTGTGGTAATTCAGTGTTTTTTAACCTTCATGTATTGTTGGTAGTTTTTACTGTACGCATGGAGGTGAAGACATATATTATATAAGATTATCATCAGCCCATCAACATCATCTAGTTCAGTAGTTCTCAACATGGAGTCTGGGGACCCCCAAGGGTCTTTAAGAGGGGTGTGTGAGCATTCCCAGAAAAATGGGGAAACTATCATTTGGTTGACTAAAAGCTAGCCATATTAGAGAATGTCTAATCACTGTTAATCAAACCAATCTAGTTATTGACTAACTACATCGTATCAAATACAGATCCACATCCTGATATATTTGATCAATTTGATACCACAAAGTTTGAGAACCACTGATACAGTTGAGCTTTATTTTCTTTATACTAATTTAGTCAAGTTCTCACCATCTTGTTGTTTTCTACTAATGCAGGTTTTTAAGGGGGTTAGGATTTCAGTGCTCATCATACTGTAGTAAGGATGGTCAACTACTGTAATGGTTTGCAAACCTTACTATTAGGGAAAACTGCACCAGAATGTTAGCAATTCACATAGAACAACATTTGTTGGTTAACATGTGAAAACTGAAAAATATTAAAGCTGCTGTAGGTGATTTTTATATAAATAACTTTTTGTCATATTTGCTGAAACTTTCACTATACCCTGCAGTAGTGGCATTTGGAAGAATCCACCGTACCCAAAGAAATACCAATCAGAGCCAAGAAAGATACTTGATTGTTGAGTGTCATTCTCAGGTTGTTAAATACTGATGCTGTGAATGAGACCCAACAATCAGCTATCATTAATACCCAAAGCAGCTTTCCATCTTTCTCCTAGCCAGAGGAACCAGATTTTTCACAGATTATCTCTCTCATGTTCTTCTGTCAGGATGTGGTGAGCAAATATGACTAAAAGTTATTTTTATAAAAAAATCACCTACTACAGCTTTAACAGTACTAGTCTCCTGCCAAAGCAGCTCTGTAAGGGCTTTACTTAAAGCCACTGAAAGACCATAATGGGCCTTAAATTCCCTGACACGTCATACCACTGTTATGCGGATGATACACATATCTACTTTTCTGCGAAACCCAGAAAACTTAAATCTTAAATCCTGATAAAACTGAAATCATTTTATTTGGCCCTGATAACTTTGTCACTGCAGTTGATCAGTTTATTGGACCATTACGCACTAATATCAAACCCACTGCTAAGAATATGGGTATCATCTTCGACCAGTATAAGACATTTGACCTTCATGTCACAAAACTTGTCCAGTCCTGTTTCCTGCAGCTACAAAATATAGCAGAAATCAGAAGCTTCCTGTCCTCCAGTGATCTTGAACAAGTAATTCACAGCTTCATTTTCTCCTGTCTAGATTATTGTAACTCCCTCTACACGTGCCTCAGTCAGGCTTCCTTAAATCAAAATGCAGCCGCCAGACTTTTAACCAGAACCAGCCGTCGGTCCCACATTACTCCTGTTCTTGCATCCCTTCATTGGCTTCCTGTAAAATTCAGAATCAATTATAAGATCTTACTGATTACATATAAGGCACTTCATGACCTTGCCCCCAGTTACATTTCAGATCTCCTTGTTCCTCATTCCACTCCTCGGCCACTTCGCTCCTCAAATCGCGGCCTTTTATCCGTTCCACGCTCTAACTGTAAAACTAAAGGTGATCGTGCTTTGCTGTTTTAGCCCCAACATTGTGGAATAGTCTTCTCCATTCACATAGATTCACTGAATCTGTGGACTGTTTTAAGCGGCTGCTCAAAACCCTCCTCAACAGGCAAGCCTTTTTATAGATCTCCTTGTTTGTTTCCTCGTCTGTCGTCTCTCTTTTAATTTATCCTTCCCTCTTGTTTTATATTCCTTTGTTTGTTGTTACATGCTCTCTATGTTTGTGTTTATTTGTTGTTTGGAAAGCACTTTGGATCTCTGTGTCAAAAAGGTGCTATATAAATAAAGTTTTACTTACTTACTTACTTACTTACTTAAAATGAGGTAGAAATGCCAAAAGATCTAAGCAAGTTGTGCTTAACACAAGCAACAAAAACTCAATTATTTAACATACACTTTATTAAAATAAGTATTTTTGTCACTTTATTGAATTTAATTTAGAATGTGTACCTTAATCTCAGATTAATAATTAGCAAAAACACCTTAGGCTTTCTCTTACAGTAGGCACCAGAAGCATTTTCTTTTTATTAATACAATGAAAAACTAAACAGCTGCTTCATTTCCAACACTGGGACAAGACTACTGTCTCTTAAACTGAGAGGTTGTGTAAGTCTTACTCGTCAAAAAAGCTAAATAATCTTGTTCCTTTGCTGGGATATTATGCAAACCATCTAACTCAATATTAGCAGTAATATCTTATTAAGACAAAGTTAGATAGATCTTAAAAAGATATTTCTTTTCTAATGCAAAACATGCTTCACAAAAGTATTTTTCTTGTTAGAAGGACACATTTCCCAGAAATAAGGCCTTTTTAGATTCCTTTATGGCAGTATAGTTTTGTAGGTATTTGGTCATCAAAGTTCTTATAATTCATCCTGAGGGCAGCATACATATCTGTGACAAACCTTTGAGCCAAAACTACTCACTGAAAACTTTGATGCTGGTTGTGATAAAAATCAAAAGACTGAATGCATGAAAGTATAAAATTTCACCGCAAATCAATCAAGTAGTTGTTAAGATGTTAAGACTTGTATTACCATCTTGTCATCCTGGAATACGACGGAGTATTAGGGCCAGACTAGGAACTTTTTTTTTTTTTCAGTCAACAGGTAAGCTAACGTATTGATAATTTCTTTGTTAAACAGTTTTGCTGGCTGAGCCAACAGACTGGCAGTTAACATTATTACTTTATTTTTGTAATATTATGGCTTTATTCTCATAATATTACGACTTTATTCTCGTAATATTACAACTTCATTCTCGTAATGTTACAACTTTATTCTCATAGACCTAATATTACGACTTTATTCTGGATTTATTTCTTTATTCTGCATTGCACTCTACTGCAATTCACTCGTGCAACTACCTGTCTACAGTACATCCTTAATGTGTGTCAGTCAAACAGTTCTGCTCAAGCTTGCAACATTCTGGCCTTGTGGGAAGCAATGGCCACTGACTCGTGCTATGTTTTGCTACTAGACTGTTGAATAGTCGTGAGGTGTGAAGGAGGAACGTGAGTTTAGAAAATGTCAAATAGAGTGTTGAACATGTAAAATTTTAAAGCTTCATTATTTTGCTTTGCCTCAGAACACAGGACACAGTCTCATCTTCAGCACAACACCTTCACCTCAGAGCTCTTTCATCATGATGTACAGCTCTAACAGTATCACAATAACTGGCTTCTGGTATATTGTCCCTTCAAAGCAATGCTATTACTGCAAGGTAAAACCGATATGTTTCTTGGGATCTGAGTCATACTTGTCTCTACACTTCAAACCACATTGGTCCTTGACTTCACTTGATTTTTTGTCTTTATCCCCCAAACCATTATCTTTTTATTTGAGCTTTTCGCCATTTGGCAGGATTTTGAGCTGAGAAAGAAAGAATGGATACAGCAATAAATCAGCCACATTTTTTTCACCTGGCACAATAATTAATGTATGTATGTGAGCCAGAGGGCCTATCTAAGTTTTTAACCCCTCAATTATCTGACATCATAAAATGACGCTGTAATGTTCTGTAGCATTTTAAATATAAAAATCAATTTCATCAGTGGGAACTTTTAGGTCTCTGTAAATTATTTTATAAGGAATATGTTTTAGATCTGCTCTATTTGAATACAGTCCTGAGATATTGTTTGTTAGGATTTGCTGCAATACAAATAAAATTTTACTGAAAATTGAAATGAATTGAATCATGGATCCAGCTAAAAACTACACACACAAATGATCTTCAGTTATGTAAAATGGTATATTATCCAGCTGGTTTCAGTAATAATTTATGTGATGCTTTCTTTGGCACTGTTGTTGGTGCAGGTATATCATGGGCCCCTGGGCCTTTAGGCCACACCATCAACGATCATACATACATAACTAATTTGCATTAATTAGTTCTATAATCTCCTCTGATGCTGGTAAATGGTTGAATGTGTTTGGTTTTGGGGCTTTGAAAGGACAATCTCATACCAAATCAGTACACCTGAGTAAGGTTTTTCTGCAGAAAAGATGAAGGAGATAGGAGCAGTTTTCTGTATACTAGATGATAAAATATCTTTACTCCTCAATCTAAAAATAAGATAAAAAGTGTTCCTAAGGATTTTGGGCTAGTTAGGACTGATTTCCTACTCTGAGAAATGTTATAAGGTGCTTGGTGTTTCTTTGAAGAGACATTAAAGAAGACACTGTTATGCAAGGAGCCACCTTGCAGTTCTTGTTTGGACAGGAGGACTTGCACATAATTAACAGGTTGTCCCCACCGCAGCTTTGCATACAGTCCTGTGTGTCAGCAGCTGCACATCTTGAAGACAGACTGACTTGCCTGTCAAACACGAAGATGCTTTGGCCGACTCTTCTGACTCTTCTGATGCTTGGCAGAACTCCTGTCACGGCCTTGCCTCTCAGAACCCCAGACCTGCCTACACAAACCCATGCAGGACCACCTGAAGCTGACCAGGACTTTGCAGAGGTATTTACCTGGTTATACATATGTGCCCTGTAAGAAAGCATGAACAACAGCAGATGGATGTACAGGTCTCTGTGTTGGGATAGTTGTTTTATTTATGGGAGACTCCACCCTGGGCAGCTTTATAGCCCCACTACCTTGACCCGAGTGGAGCTTTGCTCATGTATGGTTTGATTTGTTAGTTCTGTTAAGTGCTGGATTATCCAAAAAGCTTCGGCATTATTGTTGACCCACTGATAGGATCTGTGTTTCTGTTTTCAGAATAATACTGTTTGTAGAATTGTTTATATGGGGAGACACTTCAACATAGAATTGGAATATTATTTGTGGCGTTTCACATACACAAACATTGAGGTATAATTGATTATTTTTTACTGGCATTTTTCCACTTGACAATTTCTGATGGATAGTTTGCTTTCATTTTTTCACCACTACAAACTACAACATCCAAAACTTATACAGAGTTATAGATAAAAGTAACCATATAAAGTAGGAAAGCTTATAGAATCATACAGTAGTTAAGGATTAATCAATAGCACCTTTGTTTGTGGATTAAAATGTGTCTTTTTAAATAATAATGCATAAGCATTTAAATGCATAAGCAATGCACATCTACACCTACGCCCTGTGTTTCATCCTCTAAAATCTCCAGTAATCCTTTCTTGATTCTGCTAGAAGCTGAGAGTGGCTGTGGTTGTTCATTTAACTCTAATGATATTACAGGTACACAGCTTAATCATTGTGTTGTCTTATGATACACAACTTTGATCTCTCATAATGATGAAATAGAAAAATATGGAAAAAAGTCTACATCATAACATAATTGGATTCATTTCTGCAAATTCTGCCTCTGTGAAACCTCAGCTGAAGTAAAAATGCTTTGATAAGGATTATTTATGAGCTCTTCTTCTAAATGTCTGCCACTTGGCTCCACTACTATTGTGGTCACATATAATGAAGATACAGATAACTGAGATAACTGCAGTCAAAATATGTGAGCCACTGCAGCCACACAGAGTCACTGTTATATTTTGCCAAGTGAAACATGTTTTATGTGAGTCTGAATGTCAGCTTAATGTTAGAATGATAACAGCTTTATTAAGTGAGATTTCATTTTTTATATATTAAATTATAAGTAATATATAGTAAGTAACATAAGTAATGTTTCTAGATGCTGAATAGCTGTCTAAAAGCTATAAAATTCCTAGTTCCGAGTAGTCCTCATTCGGCCTAGGTGTGGAAATTGAATACATTCTGAATACCAACTGAATTGTGTTTGTTAGAACACAACTATCAGGAAGTACTGAAAGTTGTTTACAACATTTTTTAAAAAAAATATTTTCTAAAATAAGGTATAACATAGGCACTTTGTTGTTACTAGAGGATTCATCAGTATGTGGACAGTTACTGATGTCCTTAGATAGACCTCTAAAAATATAATCATAAACGGTTTTACTTTGTTCACTCCCTTGTTTCTGGGCTTTGTTGTTTCTGTATTACACTTTTGTTTTTTAGTTGACTTCATGTACAAAATCAGCCACAAACATTCAGCACTCACATTATAAAGGTGTTAAATGAGTCAGTAAATGAAATAAATGAAAGAGAAGGCGATTACTGTACAAACTGTCATAGAGCTTCAGTAATCCTTTAAGTTGGAGGATTTTTAGACCTTGTGTGGCTGTTGTTGACACCTACAATTACATGAGCACAGCAACATTTCTGAACCGTACTATTATTAAAGGTTTAAGAAAATGTTTGGAATGTTTACTGTAAAGATTGTAAGAGCTGTGAGTTAGAGCAGACCTTGAGTTTTCTGGGAGTTTGTTTTTCAAAATGTGGAGCATAAAATCTGAATGCTGCTCCTTTGTGTTTAGTTTTGACTCTGGGAACAGTAAGCAGACCTGAACCGAGACCATCTGAGAGGTCTTTATAACAAAGCAGCAGGCCAGAAATGTATTTTGGTGTTGAAACATTCAGTGCTTTAGAGTATAAAATCAATTCTTGACATACAGGAATCTAGAAACGACCTGAAAAGTGATGTGGTCCACAGTCTCTAGTTCTGACTCAGCTGTAGCTGTCTGATCAATTTTTTAGACTGACCTGTAGAGACAGAGAAACAGTGGTTGAGCCTACTAAAGACAAACACATGGACAAGCTTTTCTTAATCTCGTTGAGACAAATCCTTTAATTCTTGTGTTCTTAAGGATTTTGTAATTGCCTTCATGTGGATCTAGATCTGAGTCCATGACTACATCAAAATCTCTAGCTTGGTTTATGGTCTTTAACATTATTTTATGAGTGGTTGAATGTTTGTATTACTCTTACTTCAAGTAGCGTGACACCTCCTTTTCAAGCTGCTTGTGGCAGCATGTGATTGTTTTCTGCTTGAGGAGCAGATTGTCAAACCCTTTGGGCACAGAAAGAAGAAAACATTAAATTAGAAAAGTGTCTAGTGTATGAATACATCAGCTCAGCGTACATTCATTACCTTTTAGTTGACTGCAGTAATGCACCATTTTGCATTTACCAACTATTTTATCTTCCTCAGGAATATCTACAGCACTTCTATGGCTACAGGCCCAAATCAGAGAGACAGAAGAGGGCTGCAGACACAGATGCAGATGCTGATTGGTCAACTGCACTCTGTGATAAGGTCCAGAAGATGCAGCGCTTCTTTGGTTTGCCTCCAAGTGGAGAGCTGACCCAGGAGACTCTGGCAGTCATGAAGAAGCCGCGCTGTGGTCTGTCAGATGTGGAACGCATTGGAGAGACAATTCGCTGGAAGAAGAGCACACTCAGCTATAGGTTAGAAAGGATCAGAAAGCAGTGCAGGCAATAACAGTGCTAACTGGCTAATGTTTAGCAGGTATACTGTTCACCATGTTCACCACCATAGTTGATAACGTATGCTTATTAGCACTAGTACAGCTAAGGCTGAAGGGTATGTTGCTAGTTTTGCAGGTATTTGATAATAAAAAAAGGGATTTGGACAAATTGAAATTCTGACCTAATGATTGTGTTAGAGAAAGAGTTAATTACAATTCATCCTCAGGAGGGTACGAAGGTCTTTACCAGATGTCAGGATGAAAGAAAACTGACCTGCTGGTGGTGCTACGAGAAAAGTTACCAAATTCGTCTGTGTACCATGAATGTTTGTACAAACTTTTTGGTAATCAATCCACTAGTTACTGAGATATTTAGTCTGGTGGTGGAATAACAGGATGGACCTGCAATCCATTGACTCATGAAAATGGCTAAAAACAGCATGCCAAAAAACCTGTCCCCATGTAACAGCTGAGGAAAAAAAGCATTGAATGTGTCAGATAGGTAAAGATTAAGAAGTAGTAGAATTCTATCTTTGTTCTTTAGGATTGCTGGCCACAACCTCCCCATCCCAGGCTCAAAGGTTCACAAAGTCTTCAGCGAGGCATGGAAACTCTGGTCCAATGTTGCGCCCATTAAATTTCGCAAGCGTAAAAGGAGAGAGGCCGACATTGTCATCTCCTTCCACAATGGCGGTGAGCTCCAAAGAAACCCTGTCAGGCTGTACTGGACAGTGATCCTGACACTGACACTTGGCATAAATTTACTGAATATAACCTTTAATTGTTTCCTGCAGACCATAAGGACGGCTCACCTTTTGATGGCAAAAGAGGAGTCCTGGCTCATGCCTTTATGCCTGGGTATGGTATTGGTGGAGATGTGCACTTTGATGCTGATGAAGACTGGAGCTTTAATTCTACTGGTACGAGAGTTAGAAATCTCACACAATAAACATCACAATAAACCCACTGTAGAATTATTTGTTTATATACTAAATATTAGGCTACAGCCGAAGACGGTTGGATAGCTTAGCATAAAGACTCGATGCAAAGGGGAACAGCTAGTTTAGTTTTAAATCTGAAAAAAAGAAAAAAGCTTGATTAAGAGAAACACTGATACTGTACATCCAAAAGTGAATAAGCATATTTTGACAAATGTGAAGCAGTTCCATTAACTTAACTAAGATTGTGCGTACTGCTAACACATTTAGTTGGGTGAGTTGGGAAGTAACCATTCTTCTGAGATACCACAGATTCACACTATTTGCCCAATGAGATATCTTGAGAAGATATTGCCATGGATTGTAGGTGACGAAGATCAATTCACCCAAAACATTTTTGACTGAATATTTAGGTTGAATAGCAGATTTTTATTGACATTATGTAAACTGTTTTGTAACCTTTCTGTGCCACAAAGCCCTCATACATCTGCTGTTCCTGCTCCAGGTTTCAACCTGTTTGCTGTAACGGTCCATGAATTTGGCCACGCACTTGGCCTGGCCCACTCATCCGACCCCGGAGCTATCATGTACCCATCATACAACTTTGCTCCCAATAATGAGCTTCAGCTCTCCATGCGTGACGTCAAAGATGTCCAACACCTGTATGGTGAGTTTAGTTGGAGTCAAAAGATGAAGCCTCATTTCACCGCTCAGATTCAGAAAATTGAATTCATGTCTTACATACTCTGTGACTGCATTGTAACATAGCCTCTATAACCTGCTAGCTATCTTTACCTTTGCTTTGCTCTCAAACTAAGTTTCTTTACTTTTTTGATTGAATACACACATAAATTGCATTTACATGTAAATGCAATATATGTGATGCAAATTAAACAGCAATTTGTTGCAGATTACATTATTGTCGTTTTGTTCCCAAAGAGTCAGCCCTAACATCTAAAACCACTACATCCTCTTTCTACTGTTTCATCATTTGCCAGTGAAGTCACTAGATAATGACCAACGTAACTGTCTCACGCTGTCAATACTGGATTGACTAATTTCTATTGCATTTCAGCAGATGTCTGGCTGAAGGTTTTTTTTCTTTTTAGTCATTTAGCTGATTTCTATTATTACATACTATAGTTTTAAAGAGAATATGTAAGGAGTCAGCTGCATTATAAAACAATTGCATAATGATCAAATCACATTAAAATATGTAGTATATCACATTAATTGTCGGTAAGACCTATACGTATAGGCTGCTAATGTTTTGTCTGACAAAAGGAGCTCATCAAGAAGAATGAAATCTGGTGGAAGAAAGCAGCAATCAGTCGCTTCTGTCAAAGTTTAGCAATGACATTCATAATGTTTGATGGGAAGCAACACATACTACATGTGTACTACATGTACTAAATGTCCAGTAATTATCACATTTTTATATGTTCATCACAATATGTCCTCATAATCCTTTATGCTAATTCCATGTAGTTTTGGGCAAAAGTTTTGGTGTAAAAGTTGGTAAGAAGATTATGGTATAAATGTGTTATTTTGATGTATTTGAATATTTCGGCATATTGGGGTCCATAAACAGTGTTAAAATGCCATAAATTGGGAATGACTGGAGAGCTGAGACACATGCTTCATGCCATCCCTGCATAAGTGCCCCACTTGTGCCACCCATGTCAAAAAAGTCTGGAAACGCCCCTGCTTGGAATTGACAAGATTATATGCAGATGATATATTCCTGTATCCTTCTACTTGTTAGGCAACTTTTGTTTGACTTTATTTGAAAAGAAATTGTTGAGCTGCATACATTATTGTTTCTGTCATAAAAGCCCTCAAATTGTTTACCTCTGTTGCCTGCAGGTATCAGTCCCAATTTTGCTTCACTAGTCTCCAAAAAACCTCCTCCGACAACCCCGGACAAATGTGATCCAGATTTGTCCTTTGATGCTGTGACAGAATTACAACAAGAGGTCCTGTTTTTTAAAGACAGGTATGTTAACTGTCTCATTACCTGTATGTCTACATCATGAAGGGTGACGGACAGACTTGCCTCTCACCTCGTGTCCTACCGGGTTTAAGGATACTGGACGAAAAAAGAACTGAAATAGTTTTAGAGATAATTTTCTGCCTTTTCAGATTTTTGTGGCGCAAACATCCTCAGTTTGATGAAACAGGAATCACCCTGATTAGCAGCCTGTGGCCAGAAAGTGTACCTTCCTACTTGGATGCTGCCTATGAGAATGTGGAGAAGTATCGCATTGTGTTTTTCAAAGGTAAAATAAAGTAATATCCTAAAAGACTATCATTCATTTTTAATTGACTTGAAAACAACAGGTATATTCTGTATCTGCATGACAGTAGTGTTTTTGTTTCAGGAAATCAATACTGGATGCTCAGGCAGTTAAAACTTGAGGAGGGTTTTCCAAGAAACATCTCCAACTTGGGCTTCCCCTCCAGAATAAAATCTGTAGATGCTGCACTTCACTTCAGAAGTGACCGCTACACTGTCTTCTTCACTGGCCATGAGTGTTGGAGGTATTTAAAGTCCTACAGTGTCCCACAAATCTCCGTCCTGCTTAGCCTTTATGCTAAGCTAAGCTGCGAAGAGGGTTTTCTGAATTGAAGGTTTATGGACAGAGGGAGTTGTAATGCTATACAAATTATGAAGTCCCTTGAAGCTAATTTGTGATTTGTAAGCAGGGGATATATGACTAAGACTGACTTGACCTCTTCCTTAGGTTTTTATTTTTTGACAAACTACAAATGTCCTGTGTGCGATGACTTTGCTGGTGTCATCAGACACAGCAGGCCCTGTTTACCACCTATTAGCAGGAAAACATAGAGACAAAGCTCTTCCATGTTTTCTTTCTGTATGACATCTAGGTACAATGAGCAGCTGAAGATGATGGAGGGATCACCGACACCCATAGAGCAGCAGTGGCCAGGAATTCCAACTCCAATAGATGCAGCCGTCTTCTATGATGGTAGTTACATTAGTTTCTTTTTCTGCTTTCAGTCTTCTAAAATGTGGTACACAGCATTTTAACAACATGCTTTCATTTAATAAATAACATTTTAAAAAAAGCCAAATATAGTAAGAAAAATCACTGGCAAGCAAGGTGACAAAACATAAAGCCAGCCAATATGAACCTATTTGCTTGCAAAAAATGAAAAAAAAATGTATTGTATCCCCCATGCAATAACAAAGCCAGACATTAAGAGCAATACGACAAACGTCAATGAGACTCTAACAATACTTTAGATCACCAGTCCCACTGTTTCCATAAGGGACACAACATTTTGAGTAGTATCAAATTGTATATAGTAGCTAATGATTAGTTCATTAAGAAATGAGTGAGGAAGGAATCAACTTGATTATAGATGAATTGTTAATGTTAATTGTTAAGTTTTTAACAATTGCTAATGGAGGACTATATAGTAGGTAATGATGAGTTACTAAAGAACAGAGTGGGAGATCCTATACTAATGAATCATTAGGTAATGATTAGTCACTGAATATCTGTGAATCAATCATACTGATTACTTTATTCATCTGAAACAGCCGGTGACTGGCACAAAACTAATAAAGACTCCATCAGTACTAATAACTTAAACATTATTTACTGTTTTTGTGGCCCCTAAACTGAAGTGGTGCATCATACTGAGTGGTTCCTGTAGTCCCTAATTATTTCATCCTCATCTTATAAGTACTTACTCATTTTGTATGTAAGCATGACAGAAAGTTCTATATAATTCTTTATTGTGGAGAGCAAAGGATGAGGTGGAGATGAGTCTCACAGTCTGAGGAAAGAAACTGTACAGTACAGAGGTACAGAAGCGGATACTTTTGTATCTCTTTCCAGATGACAGCAGCGTGCACAGGCTGTGGCTGGGGTGGGTGCTGTCTTTTAGTATATTCTGGGCTCTGCTCAGGCACCTGACCTCACTGATATGCTCTGTAGATGAGTACCAATGATATTCTTAGAAGAGTCCTCCTGTCCAGGGCCGCGGGCATCCCATGATGCCAGTTTGTTTCCAGTGAGGCTGCTTCCTATCACTCCCCTGTAAAAGTAAAAAAAAAATGTCCTTAAGAAATACAACTTTTTGGGGGTTTTCTTTACAAGGATGGTTTCTTAAAGTGACAGGTCTTTAATGGACTGACAAATGAGTTCTTGTCCAAAAAGATTTAAGTTAACATTGCCTAAAGTGATGCAGGGGTTCAAGTGGCCTGTTAGTTAGCCTAATGTCTTTGGACAATGATAATCTGATGTTTCATGTACTGTAGCACCAACAGCACCTGATACTGAGATAATGTATAATGGTAATGTATATAATTAATCTTCACTCCCAACAGGATTTGTACACTTCTTCAAGGGAAACATCCTCTACAAATTTGACTCCAACTCCAAACGTGTCGTCTCCACCAGCCCTGCTAACGTACTGCTGGAATGCAAGAAGAAGGATGACAATGAAATACTGACAGAGAGGGGATAATTGAAGGAACACACTTTAGCTTGATTATGTGTGTGTATGCACAAATTGTTTCAAAACTGTAGTGAAATAACCACAGTGTACCTAATACCGAATTGGGAAGCAATGAATAACCCAGGGAAGTGGTTAAAAGTGTACCTCAGTGTGTAATACAATGTTGTAATAATGGCATTTGTACCTTGTATCAAAGTACACTTTTTTAAACGTACGTGTTTCATTAAAATGTTGCTGCTAGATGGGTGAATATGTGTGTGTGTGTGTGTGTGTGTGTGTGTGTGTGTGTGTGTGTGTGTGTGTGTGTGTGTTTTAAAGAATTGAATTATCTTAATGCATAATTACCTAAATTTCTTCTAAAGATACTCCACAAAAATTTTAATGTATTTTATGGTTCTACCTTTGCGACACTGTGATCTATCGTTCCCAAACTTTACTCGTTAATATTTATATTTTTCATGATTAAAAAAACATTATTGTTGCTTTTTTATTGCAACACATTATTTCTCTCTGAGCGTTGTTGGTCAATTCACCTGAGACAATAAATTACACCAGACATTACTGTTCCTCTGTGTCCACTGTTTTGTAACAGTGACTAAAATGTAGCTTTCCACTAAGATTGATGTTTAAGGTGATTATACATTATGACAGACAGATATCTGGAAGGAAAATAACCACCTGTAGTTGACTCATGCATCCCCTTCATTAACTCGATGAGGATTTTGATGATTCAAGTACTTCCTAACCTGTGAAAACTTTTAAATAATTTCCAAGAATTAGATGATACAACACGTCTATGTTTGTTTGCAAGATTCAACATCTTACCAGAAGCAACAACAGTGTGAGGGCCGGAGGAGACAGTTCATGAATCAAAGGTCAGACGATTGATCACAGACTTGCTCAGAAAAACCTGAGGGTGAAATGGGAAAAAATGGCAAGCACTGCTGTAAAACCTATACATGACTCAGATGCATACATGTCTTTAAAGGTCCATTGTGTAACATTCTATTGATCAATTGGCATATAGGCTATAATATAATATTCATTATTATGTTTTCATTAGTTTATGACCACCAGAGTATAGGAATTGCTGTGTTTTTGTTACATTAGAATTAGCTGTTTTTCTCTACAGACGCAAGGTCCACCTTTCATGGTGTCCACCAACGGACAAACCAAACACTGGCTGTTATAGGGCATTTCGTGTTATGGCAGCCACCATAGTTTCTACACACTTCACAGCCCGTTTTCATTCCCAGGTTGTCAAAACCAATGCGAGTGGTGTTCAGTTAGTTGCAATCTTCAACTTCTAGACGCCACTAAATCATACACACTGGTCCTTTAAGAATGAAGAGAAAGTCACTGGCACCTAATCACTGATTTTACATGTTATTCCAATATTTAAGTCATATATATGTATATAACATGTTCATTGCCAGATGTTACCTCTGCCAAGAAGGTTATAAGGATATTATTGGTCCTCTTTGTTGGTGAAGGGGATGATACATCTTGATCAATTTGTATAACTTTTTAAAGGTTGAAAAACAATGTCACCATTTAGTAGATGTTCTGGAGATGTTACAATCATATCAGACAAGCTTCCTCTGCAGATGGAATTTTGGTATTTTAAAGGTTTTCTGTCCAGATAAGGCATACTTTTGATGAGATTTTAATAAGAACTATAACGCTGCAGTAGGTCATTTAAAAAATATATATCTGATGAAACTTTCACTATATTCTGACAGTAGTAAATAAGACAGATAATCTGAAAAAATCTGGTTCCTCTGGCTCCTCCTAGTGCTCCTAATAGTATTTGCAAGAAGATGACAAAAAATATTTACCTATTGCAGTTTTAAAGTAATCTAACACATGTATACCATATCATCTATTGTCTTTTCAATAGTTTTTTTTACAGATCTTGATGCAGATACAAATACTTTATACATATATATATATATATATATATATATATATATACATATATAGTTTACAAATGTTTGTTCCTTATATAGTCATACATATTTATTTTTTGTGAAATAAATTTTTGCCCAACTAGCAATATTTTATATTAACTTTTTTTTAATGAGAAATTCAAACTATGCTAAAAAAATAATCATATTAAATCTGCAAGTAAATCTGTAAAAAAATAAGTACTTACTTTTTATGGCAGATTCATGAGATTGTTTTATTTAATAAAAACTTTCCCACACATAGTACATGTAGCAATCCTAAATGTGTCACGTCATTATTACAGTGTCTTGCTTTGGGGCTTTTTTTTTTTTTGATGAGCAATCAAAGCCAGACTTCCTCTCTTATCCATAAAAGGAATATTGAGTCACTGATTCAAGGAGGTATTGCTCAACACGCCCTGTCCTTAGCGTATATAACAGCATGTCTCCAGCACAGAAACACATTCAACGAAACATGAAGACTTTGATTCTACTGTGCCTGGCAGTCGCAGCTTACTGCGTTCCAATACCGCAGGAGGTTACTGTGGAAGATGAATATTTTGCAGAGGTATGTGCTCGCTTTGTTTTTTATGCATTCTCACTATTTTGCATAAAAGTGCATGTGGATACTTGGATGTTCTAGGAATTGTCAATGTTGTTATAAACAGGAAAAAAAAAATCTGTTAATCTACTCTTGTTCTCTTTTGCAGAGCTACCTGAAGAATTTCTTCAACCTAACAGAGGAGACCGGCCCAACTATCAGACGGGGGATCAGCCCGGTGAGCAAGAAGCTGAGGGAGATGCAGAGATTCTTTGGTCTCATGATCACCGGGACACTGACAGCTGACACCTTGGAGATGATGAAGAAGGCCCGCTGTGGTGTTCCAGACACCAACGTTGCCAGTTTCTCCACATTTGGAAATAGCCTCAAATGGGAGAAAAACAGACTCACCTACAGGTGAATATTCTAAAGAGAGAAAAAGTATGAAAGAGTAAATGTAGTAAGTATATTTAATAATATTTTGGCAATTTTTCTGCCCTACAGGATAGAGAACTACACGCCTGACATGTCTACATCAGAGGTCGATGACTCCATAGAGAAAGCTCTGCAGGTTTGGGCCAAAGTCACCCCTCTGAGATTCACGAGAATCTACAGTGGCACCGCTGACATCATGATCTCCTTCGGACGCGGATGTGAGTTCCAGTTGTATACTCTCCCTGAAGTTAGTTTATTAGTGGTAACATGCATTTTCTGTTGACTACCGTACAGCTGATTCAATGAATCATAGCACTTAGATGTATTCTGAAAACCCAGCTCTGATTCAGATTTTTTACACTCATTCAATTAATGGACTGTAAAGCTTTATTTGTTTTTTCACACCTGACATGAATATGTTTTTTCATTAACAGCACATGGTGATTATTACCCCTTTGATGGCCCTGATGGCACTCTCGCCCACGCCTTCGCCCCAGCCCCTGGCATTGGAGGAGATGCTCATTTTGACGAGGATGAGACCTTCACTTTCCGCTCAAATACCGGTCAGTTTGTCATTTATGTTCATCATTTTACTTACTAATGACTCAGATATTTCTAATTTTCATCGAGAGGAGCTGTAACTGACCTGTCCTTCTGTATTTTTCTGCTGTAGGCTATGTCCTCTTCATGGTGGCTGCCCATGAGTTTGGCCACTCCCTGGGCTTGTCTCACTCTAATGATCCTGGTGCTCTCATGTACCCTGTGTACACATACAGAAACCCTGACACTTACGTTCTGCCCCGGGATGATGTCAATGGCATCCAGTCTCTCTATGGTTAGTACTAACTGACTGGATCATTGATGCAAATTCCTGAAAAACTCAATCAAACAATATTTGATTATGTCACACAACTTTGTTGCAAGGAGATGCTGATTGTATTTAACCTCCAGGTCCAAACCCTGACAAGGATCCCGTCCAGCCTGGACCTGAGCCCCCTACCACCCCCGATTCCTGTGATTCATCCTTGGTCTTGGACGCCGTCAGCACCCTGCGAGGAGAAATGATCTTCTTCAAGGACAGGTATCGTAGACACACAGTAGAAAGCTCAAATATCTGAATGCTGATATCCATTAAGAGCTTACTAATTTCTCTTCTTGTGTGTTCTCAGCTTCTTCTGGCGTAGCTACCCTCAGAGCGAGAGGCCTCAGCAGAGTCTCATCACAAACTTCTGGCCTGATGCCCCCATCAATATTGACGCTGCTTATGAAAGCCAATACTCAGACAATATCTTACTCTTTAAAGGTACTGCATTTGTTCTCTGTATCTACCTAAAGCTCCTAATTTGACACTGTTTTCAAGATTTATATTTGTATATACTAAAAAGTCTGCTTTTTATCTCAATGTAGGTCGCAGAGTGTGGGCTTTCAGTGGTTATGATCTTGTAAGTGGCTATCCTAAATCAATTTCCAGCTTTGGTCTGCCAGAAAGTGTGAGTAAAATCGATGCTGCCCTCTATGATGTGGAATCTGGCAAGACTCTGTTCTTCGTAGGCAGCTCTTACTACAGGTGTGTTCAAACGACGTAATGTAAAATGAATTCTGTTCTGGGTGAGATGATGGTTTACAGGATGGTAAATTAGTCTAATTATTTTCTGTGTTTCCTTCAGTTATGATGAGGCCAAACAGACCATGGACCAGGGATTCCCCAAGCAGTCCGATGAGACCTTCACCGGCCTGACCAGCAAGGTGACTGCAGCTTTCCAGTACAAAGGTGGGTAACATTCAAAGCTTAGCAGATATTTCCAACTTCAGATTATTGAAATGAGAAACAGCTTGCACAGAAACTAACAGTGAGCCTCTGTTGTGCAGGTTTCACTTACATCTACAGTGGACCCTTCATGTTTGAGTACAGCCTGAGGAGCGGGAGGTTGTTCCGTGTGCTGAGGAACAGCTACTTCTTGCGCTGCACTAACTTCTAGACCAGTTGCTCATGTAGCTACCCTGAATGAAGGCATCAGAATTAAAACGTGACATGAATATATTCTATAATATATAATGATATTGTTATACACTTAGGGGTATATACTGGATATATGCCCTTCCTGAGTACAGCACCTTATTTTTTTAAATATTTTTTTATTATGATGTCAGCCTTTGCTATTTATGTTAATTTAACTCTATTTGATCCTTTATTTATGTCATAATCATTGTTCAGTTATTGCTTTTGCTATTTTTATAACAGTTGTTAAGTTGTGTTTAATGAAGTTTAACTGTGGTGCATGTTATATAAATTAATGTTAACATTGTTACAATTGCACATGTCTACACAGATTATGAATGTATGCAAATTATGTTTGAATTTGTGAAAATAAATTGGCTACCATGAAATAACAAATAAAAGTTGTTTAAGCAAATAGTAAAAGTATGTTCTGTTGTTATTTGGCATATATAGATCAAGAGATAATGTTTGTGCATGTGCAAGTTCCAGAGTCAGTACTAAGCACAGGCCATATAGGCAGGCACCAGCATATGGAGGGGTTGCTGCACCATTAGGAAAAAAAATCTTAAACTTACATAATATACAGTGGGAGTAATAATTATTTGATCCCTTGCTGATTTTGTAGGTTTGCCCACTTACAAAGAATGGAACTGTGTATAATTTTAATCATAGGTACGTTTTAACATTAAGAAACAGAATATCACAACAAAATCCAGAATAACAACATCATAAATTTTATAAATTTATTATCATATTTTTGCATGAAATAAGTATTTGATCCCCTAACAACCAGCAATAATTCTGGAAGCATTCCTAATCTCAACTCTTACCCAAAACACCTGTGTCAACTTGTTACATCGTTATGTAGCTGTATAAAAGACACCTGTCCACAAAATCAGTCACATTCCAACGTTTCCACCATGGGCAAGACAAAAGAGCTGTCTAAGGACATCGGGGACAACATTGTAGACCTGCACAAGGCTGGGATGGGCTACAAGAAAATAAGCAAGCAGCTTGATGAGAAGTTAACAAAAGTTGGAGCAATTATTAGAAAATGGAAGAAACACAAAGTCACCGCCAATCTCCCTCGGTCTGGGGCTCCACGCAAGATCTCGCCTCGTGGGATGTCAATGATCACGAGAAAGGTCAGGGATCAGCCCAGTACTACACAGGAGGAGCTTGTTAATGACCTGAAGGCAGTTGGGACCACAGTCACGAAGAGAACCATCAGTAACACACTACACCGTGAAGGATTAAAATCCTGCTGTGTGCGCAAGGTTCCTCTGCTGAAGAAGGCACATGTACAGGTCCGTCTGAAGTTTGCCAAAAAAACACCTGGATGATCCGGAGGAGGCTTGGGAGAAGGTGATGTGGTCAGATGATACCAAAATAGAGCTATTTGGCATCAACTCGACTCGCTGTGTTTGGAGGAAGAGAAATGTTGAGTACAACCCCAAGAACACCATCCCCACTGTGAAGCATGGAGGTGGAAACCTTATGCTTTGGGGGTGTTTTTCAGCTAAGGCCGGGGACAGGACCAGGTGTATTAAGTACTTGAAAAAAATAGTAAAAATTTAAAAGTAAAATTACAAATACCATAACTGAAAATGACTTTGGTAAAAGTTAAAGTCACCCATAAGAAAATCACTTGAGTAAAAGTCTTAAAGTAGCTCACATTAAATGTACTTAAGTATCTTGTGAAAAAATATACTCAAGTATCTAAAGTACAAAGTATTTTTATAGTACGCATAAAAAGAAGCAAAACAACCAAAAATGGTTCTCCCCTTGTTCTCTTTATTTCACTTTCAGGTGAATGAAATAGATGTGGTATGATAAAACAAAAACAAAAAAACACCTGAGCAAACATGTACAGTGAGTGAATCAAGTGTCTCGTGTCTGCCTGAGAACATAACTATAAATAAAGTGTCTGTCTGCCTAAGAACACAAAAAAGTGCCTCGTATCTGCCTCAGAGAACACAACTAAATAAGGTGCCTTGTGTCTGGTTAATAATACAACTTAAAAAATACATTCTCACTACACACAGCACCATCACTGCAGACTGGTTGCACATCACGTTTCTGAACAATGTCTTGCACAAACTGTATTAACTTAAGGACCAACTTTTCCACTTTTAAACTATGTTGGGGGAATCCTCATGGGCTGAGGCATACTAACACAACACACACAAACTTTCTGGTTCTGGTTCAAGTGGTGATAGAGAAGTTGAACTTGCGGTTCATCCTCAGCAGAAGTTGATTTTCAAAAGTGTTCGCAGCTAGCCATGCTCTTTTTGGGCTGAAGATGAGACCTGCTATGCTGAACAGTCTTTCACAGGCTGCAGAAGCAGGCAGAGGTGTGTTGAGTTTGACAGACAACTTGAGAACCACAGGAAACGTCTTCAGTATCTTGATGTTGTCTGTTGAGTAGGTCAGGTACGAATCAAGCTGCTTGGTGGCGCTTGGTGTTTCGTGGGAACTTTTCAGGGCGTGGAAGAAATCTCCCTCATCAGATGAGCCGGATCCGACATCTGCTGAAATGGAAGGATCCTCCAACTGCTCCCTGATGTAGTCCAACCCTGAAACACAGGGAGGGTGAAACTAGCACACTGAGCTTAGACATTTGCTTTCCCCCCTCTTTTCTTTGTGGTTAACATAAATGCAGTTTTGGTTCCAACTTTTGCAGATGTGCTCTCTATCTGGTAATTATGACATGCACATACATGCACTTTTTTCATATCTGCTCTAGACCCAGACCGGCAATAGCTGTGCATTACAACAAATACAATTTAAAAAAACAAAAACAAAGCTATTTTATTGAACAGCAAGCTATTTCACAACAGCTCCTATGAACAAAATTGCAAATTTTCACTATTGCTTAACTCCACCACCCAGGTCCAAGCACCGAACCTGGGGCGACAGAGCGTTCTCTGTAGCTGCCCCCTCCCTCTGGAACTCTCTCCCCAAACACATCCGTGACTGCACCGACCTTCCAACATTCAAATCTTTGACAAAAAGCCATCTTTTTAAAATTGCTTTTAATGTTTAGCTTAGTTGTCCGATGTGTTTTTAGTGTTTTTACTGTTTGATGTTGTTTTTGCTGCTTTTATGTTGTTTTATGTAAAGTGTCTTATTCAGTATTCAGAAAAGCGCTTACAAATAAAATGTATTATTATTATTATTATTATTATTAGATCCTCAAAAAAACTACTTAAGTAGTGTAACGAAGTACATCTACTTCGTTACTATACACCTCTGGACAGGACGACTTCACCATATGGAGGGGAGGATGAATGGGGCCATGTACTGGAAAATTTGGGGCGACAACCTCCTTCCCTCAGTGAGAGCACTGGAAATGGGTCGTGGATGGGTCTTCCAACATGACACTGACCCAAAACAACAAAGGAGTGGCTCAAAAAGAAGTATATTAAGGTCCTGACCTCCTCCAGACCTAAATCCCATCGAGAATCTGTGGAGGGAGCTGAAGCTTTGAGTTGCCAAGCAACAGCCTCTGAACCTTAAGAAATGGGAGAGGAGCAAAATCCCTCCCAAGATCTGTGAAAACCTGGTGAAAAACTCTGTACTTGCCAACAAAGGTTTGTCCACCAAGTGCTTTTGGTCTATGGATCAAATACGTATTTCATGAGAAAATATGATAACAAATATATAAAATTTGTACGATGTTGTTGTTCTGGATTTTTTTGTGATATTCTGTCTCTCAATGTTAAAATGTACCTATGACTAAAATTATACAGTTCCACTCTTTGTAAGTGGGCAAGCCTACAAAATAAGCAAGGGATCAAATAATTATTGCTCCCACTGCATAAACTTATTGTGCTCACAATTGATCCACTAAATGCCAGGACAAACTGGACTGAAGCCTGCGAGCTAGTTCAGGCAGTAAACTCGAGCTGCACTGCTATAGACATGCCTCACTCCATAATCACTAACCAAGCGCTCCCTTTCAATCTGGTGGTCTATTTAAACTGCACAATTTCCCAGCTCTCCCTCTGCTCTGTCAATGCCGCTGTTGCCCTGCATCCGTATTGCTGCCTGCTGTACTGTAAGCCCCACCACCACCCCAGCATCCACCTGAAGGTTCTGGCTAGGGTTTAAGGTATTTGCTCATCACTCCCCAATATCTCATGTAAACATATCTGCAGGGAATGATGAGGTCGGAGCCTAGACGCCAAAATCTAAATATGCTATACTGCTTTAATAAACATTTCAAACGTGAATTGTCTGACTGAACTCTGAATTAGCTACTTCTCCTCTGCAGGACTGAGGGTTCAAACAGGGTTCAGCTCCAGAGGCACTTTGTTGATTTCTATGAGTTACGGACTCATGAAAAATGTAGGCCAATACTGCAATCAGCCACCAGGGGGTAATCAAGATGTTTTGGCTTCACATTTGGAGAGCTGTCATTTTCTTCATCTTTATAGCTGTTGATGGGTTGAACGTGGTGGCTGGCTGTTCCTCTATTGTTGGACAGTGACATGTGTGATCTTTAATAAAGCAGAAACAATAAAAGGTTAAGTTATTGAGTAACAAACAACTTGATAATCCAAACCAAACCTGAGTCTGAAAACAGCAGATTCATGTTTTGTCTTAGGAGAACAGTTTGAGGTTTGTTTTCCAGTTATTTGCTAGATAAAATTACTGGTATTTTCTGAGACTCTGGGGATCTAATGCAACATCTAGTGGCAAGTGAATTTCAGATACCGGTATAAAACCTTTAAATAATCAGCAGTGCAGCCTGAATATACCAAATTTCACAGCAATCTAATCAACTGAGCTATTTGAGTGTGAGCCAAGTGCTGGACCAACCAGCTACCAGCAGAAAGACATTACCATATAGAGTCATGGCACTAGCATGACTAAAGATATTGATTGGACCAGCTATAGAATCAGATTGAGAGACTTTTTCAGTAATGTGTCTGTGTGTGTGTGTGTGTGTGTGTGTGTGTGTGTGTGTGTGTGTGTGAGTGACATACATCCGGCATCAACCACATTATGTCTAATAATACACTGGTCACTGATGAATAATGTTGGGGGTTGATAAAAAAGTAGTAAAATCAGGATGTGAAATTGTAAAATATTATTAATAGCAACATGACTAATGCCCCCTTATAAATATAGACATACATAAATCATTGTCATTGTCATCATATATTATCCTGGAAACAGAAATGTTTGTTTGTGGATTTTCTGTTGATGTTTCAAATTGTGTGATAATGTTTCTAAATGTTTTTTTGTTTTGTTTTTTGTTTTTTTTGTCATTTGTCAAAAGATTATTTAATATTCCACTTTCAAAATGTAAAATGTAAAGTGGTGACAGATTTTAAAGGCAATAATATGTATAATATTTTGGTAGTAAAGAAATAGGTACAGTATATATTTACAATGTTGGTGATAGTGTGTTTCCATTACAACACTTGATCCCTATTGTCTCTGCAACACTATGGTGTTGGTCAATTTACTTGACACTTAAGTTGCCTAACAAAGACAGTGCTGCTGCTCCCATTGTCCAATCTTAGGAAACAGCAACCACAGTGTAGTTTTCCACAAACAATCATGTACAAATGTTGCATAAATAGCTATATAATTATGTAGTTATGTATCAATTTATTATTATTATTATCTATGAAATACATTTTTTGACATATATAAACACAGACATGTGGATGCAAGGAAACTCGCACCACTTATCTATCAACTGATAACAATCAGATCCTTTGTACAGCACCCATAAATCTTATCATAAAATGATTGAAACTCAAGATGATGATGCCAGAAGTCTTGTTGACTCACAACGGGAAACCATAACATTGTTATAGCTGTCGTGAAGTGGTTGTTGAGTAAAGTTGTACGGACTGATGAGCAATCTTTGGTATCTACAAATACTCCGTAACATGACACAACCTGTCTGTGTTTGCTCACAAGGCACGGCACTGTCCTATCAGTAGCAACATAAGCCTGAGGGTTTCAGAAGACAGTTTGTGAGTAATGACTTTGAATTCATGAATATCAGAATATTACTCAGAATATAACCTTAAGCAGCAGACAGACCAATCAGCAAAAAATACAACAACCAATGTTCAGTCAAGGTACCTTCTGAGTATGAAGCAAATCACTGATCACTGAAAATAACTGGCATCCTCTTTATACACAATACTGAGAGAATATGGATGCTTAAAGGTAGCCTTTGATATCTATATTGGCTTCAATATCATTTATCTACGTAATAACAATAATCTATAATCTTCTATATTGACCTGACGTGTTATATTATGATTAGGTCTGGTTTGGGGGATTTTTTTTTTTTGGTTCCTGGCTGAGCAATCTTTCCTGTCATCCATGGAATACTTCATCAGACACTGACTCAAGAAGGCAGTTGCCCAACACGCCCACTCCTCAATTCATCCGCTCCTCAGCCTATATAACAGCTGACTCCAGCACAGAAACACCAGTCGCATTCCACGAGGAAGCATGAGGTCTTGCAATCTGTGCATTGTACTAAGCTTGACAGCTGCAGTTTACTGCTTGCCGGTATCACAGGTTACTGTGCAGGATGAAAGTTTTGCAGAGGTATGTGTGTTTGCTTTGTGTGTGACCTTACTATTTTACGTTTGAAGATGTGTATTTTGGAAAGTTTCATTGTTCCAAAAAATCTGAAGATCATTACTAACTACTAGGTTTTAACTTCTCCTTTCAGAGCTACCTGAAGAATTTCTTCAACCTAACAGAGGAGACCGGCCCAACTATCAGACGGGGGATCAGCCCGGTGAGCAAGAAGCTGAGTGAGATGCAGAGATTCTTTGGTCTCCAGATCACCGGGACACTGACAGCTGACACCTTGGAGATGATGAAGAAGGCCCGCTGTGGTGTTCCAGACACCAACGTTGCCAGTTTCTCCACATTTAGAAATAGCCCCAAATGGGAGAAAAACAGACTCACCTACAGGTGAATATTCTAAAGAGAGAAAAAGTATGAAAGAGTAAATGTAGTAAGTATATTTAATAATATTTTTGGCAATTTTTCTGTCCTACAGGATAGAGAACTACACGCCTGACATGTCTACATCAGAGGTCGATGACTCCATAGAGAAAGCTCTGCAGGTTTGGGCCAAAGTCACCCCTCTGAGATTCACGAGAATCTACAGTGGCACCGCTGACATCATGATCTCCTTTGGACCGCGATGTGAGTACCTAATAACTCTCAGTGGTGGAAGAAATACTCAGATCCTTTACTTAAAAAAAGTAGAAATACCATGGTCTTAAATATCCTATTACAAGTAAAAGTTCTTCACTCTCAAAGTACTTGTCATGCCATATATTTTTCATGTAAAATCTAAAAAAATGAGGAGTAACTATCATGTCAAATAAATGTAATAGAATCAAAAGTACAATATGTACATGAACATGAAAGTACTCGAGTGAACTACAAATACCTCACCTTTACCACTGATGTCTGGTATTGTACGCTTTTCATCCACATGTAACATGTTTACAAATGTGAAGGTTTTTGCACTTTGTAAAAAAAACTAAAGCTAATCACAATTATTATACAGACTGAAAGTGTACACTATTAAACTAAAAAACAGCATATCTTAACAAATGAAGTAAGTTTATATAACTTCAATCCTCCAAACAATGTGGAGTCACTCAATCCCATTAATTAAACCCATTTAAAGATGTTTTACTTAAATCAGATACATTTAAATAACTTTGGAGAAATTCTGCATCTGACTGTGATATAGTATGTATTGTTAAATTATGAATGGCAGGAGTAAATATCTTAGCGAGCTTGTTGACACCTCTGTTATAGAACATACTGTAGTGTATATTTGTGTGACATTTATCACTTAATTACCATCTGTACAAGTACAATGCAGTTACATAATATACAGTATCTTACTCAACGTATAAAGGGGCAACAATCATTCCACTGGTAGCATGCCGGCGCTTGCAGCCTTGCTATTTTTGAGCTATTTTAAAGGATTTTATGAGGGTTAATAATGTTGAAAATGTTGCTTTTACCTTACCTCAGATTTGTGATATCCCACAAACACACAAACAAATCTATATAGCTATACATTAGAGATATTATTGCATTGTGAAGTAAAAATGGCAGTACAATGTATTTGGGATACTCAGGTCTGATTTGTTGTTTTTTTACAAAGATACTAAGTAAGTGTGAAAACAACATTAAAGGTACATTTTACATTATTTTTTTAGCAGCTGACATGAATATGTTTTTTCATTAACAGCACATGGTGATTATTACCCCTTTGATGGCCCTGATGGCACTCTCGCCCACGCCTTCGCCCCAGCCCCTGGCATTGGAGGAGATGCTCATTTTGACGAGGATGAGACCTTCACTTTCCGCTCAAATACCGGTCAGTTTGTCATTTATGTTCATCATTTTACTTACTAATGACTCAGATATTTCTGATTTTCATCATTGAGAGGAGCTGTAACTGACCTGTCCTTCTGTATTTTTCTGCTGTAGGCTATGTCCTCTTCATGGTGGCTGCCCATGAGTTTGGCCACTCCCTGGGCTTGTCTCACTCTAATGATCCTGGTGCTCTCATGTACCCTGTGTACACATACAGAAACCCTGACACTTTCGTTTTGCCCCGGGATGATGTCAATGGCATCCAGTCTCTCTATGGTTAGTACTAAATGACTGGATCATTGATGCTTGTTTGCACATCTCGTACATGACCAAAATCTTAGACAACCTCTTGCACATGTGGTGATTCTACTTAACTGTTTGGGTTTTGTTGCAATGTGATGCAAGACTTTCTAAATACTTGATGACTTGATTTGTTTAACTTCCAGGTCCAAACCCTGACAAGGATCCCGTCCAGCCTGGACCTGAGCCTCCCACCACCCCTGATGCCTGTGATTCAACCATGGTCTTGGATGCGATCACCACCCTGAGAGGAGAGATGTTCTTTTTCAAGAACAGGTATCAGACATATATCCAGTTGACACATCTGAATGAAAGTCACCCTACAATAAGCGGCCTGGCTTATGTACAAAATGGCTATGTCCTTGTCCGTTCTCAGCTTCTTCTGGCGTCGCTCCCCTCAGAGAAATATACAGCAGAGTCTCATCACTAACTTCTGGCCCAATGCCCCCATCAACATCGACGCTGCTTATGAAAGCCAGTCAGACAAAATCTTTCTCTTTAAAGGTATGTGTTCTCCTTATTTACTCAAGGCACCAATCTTACACCATTTCAACGTTTACCATAGTCAACTGTATGTTTTGTTTTTTTGTTTTTTTTTACATTTTCCTTCCTGCAGGTCGTAGAGTTTGGGCCTTCTCTGGCTATAATCTTGTACGTGGCTATCCTAAAGAGCTTAGCAGCTTTGGTCTGCCAAGAAGGCTGAGGAAAATCGATGCTGCCCTCTATGATGTGGAATCTGGCAAGACTCTGTTCTTCGTTGGCAGCTCTTACTACAGGTGTGTTCAAACGATGTAATGTAAAATTAATTCTGTTCTGGGTGAGATGGTGGTTTACAGGATGGTGAATTTGTCTTATTACTGTCTGTGTTTTCTTCAGTTATGATGAGGCCAAACAGACCATGGACCAGGGATTCCCCAAGCGGTTGAATCGTACCTTCTACGGCCTAAAAGGCAAAGTGACTGCAGCTTTCCAGTACAAAGGTGGGTAGCATTAAAAGCTGACCTTTCCAAGCCAAGATTACTTCTGAAAAATGAATAAATCCTCCAGTCTTTTTAGCCTGTAAAGAAAAGTGACATTTTAGGAAATGCTCTTATTAGCTTTCTTGCCAAGAGTTACATAAGAAGATCAGTATCTTTCTTCCTGGCTTCTCGACTGGTAGTTGGAAATTACGTAATGTAACATGTTAATTAACAAGCTGTAGAGGTGGTAGCAGACATATTTTGTTACCATTTGTAAGAGCCAGGCTATCTATTTTTTTTTTAGAGCTTCATATTTAACCGACCAATTTGAGAGTGGTATCATAGCGAATTTCCCAGAATGTTGAACTGTTGCTTCAGCTAGCACACAAACTAACAGTAATCCTCTGTTCTGCAGGTTATACTTACATCAACAGAGGACAGGACATGTTGGAGTACAACCTGAGGACTGGGAGGTTGCTTCGTGTGCTGAGGAACAGCTACTTCTTGCCATGCACTAACTCCTAGACCAGTTTACTAGCTAAGTTGTTTATGTAGCCACTCTGAATGAGAATGAATGTACACTAGCAGTGTTAAAATAGTATATTTTAAATATGTGTTCTGATTCTAAATATTATGCTTTCAAAATGTCAACTATATACAATTATATTTTTTTTAAATGTTATTTTCATATAGTCTACATGTCTGTCATATATATGTATGTATGTATTGATGCTTGGTATGAATTGGAAAATTGGATATTAAGTAAAAGGTTGAATCCGATGGGCTACAGTCAGGAACTTCCTGATGATACCTCTGATCATAATGAAACATCTTCAAGATGCTGCCCTTGCATGACCAATTATTACTGGTCATTCTATTATTATTATTATTACTGCTGTTCTTTACATCTGCAATCTAATGATAAGATGTCCAGGAAAGCTTGGAGATTTGTGTAATTCATTCATTTATTTTACAAATAAATGAATGAAACTAACTTGATTTATAATTGGACAAAAAAAGCAGGGTTAACAAAGGTCTGCTTAATAAATGCATTATCAGTCATTGAAAGATTTGTCCTGTTGTTCTCTAATCAATGAAGAGTACATTTATTGTGAGTGAATATAGTGGCACCTTGTATGACAGCCATATCTGTTACATACATCACAACTGGGAAAATAGGCAAAAAAAAGAATAGAAGATATTCTTCAAATCAAGAAATTCAGCAGATTTTCATGGCATTCCTGTTCAGTAGTTTGATGAATAGTCACTCATGTCTGTGTTTTCATCAATTTCCACCCTTATTTGGAGCATGTATTTCACTCTTTTATGTGTTTTAGGGGTCACCATATGAAGGCAGTCTTAATGCTGTAAAAAACCTAATAATAATAGCATGGGAGCATATAACATCTCAATATTTCAGTGGAAACTGAATTCAGCTTGGTTTTGGCATCTCTGACAGATACAAGTGCAGTCATTAATGTCTGAAAAGACTATAACTATGCTCCCTGGTTTCATTATTCATTTGTGATGAGCATCCATGGCAAATACTTTGGGGGAAAGGTGCTTCCAAACAGGCAGGGTCACACAAAACAAGAGGAAGGCTTCTATTGCATCCTCTAAAAGAAAAGTGGTCTAATAATGCAAGTCACTTTTGGTTAGCAACACACTCAAAGCAAATAATTAGACTGTGGCTCTCAGCCTGTTAGAGGCTGTTGGTGTGTACACAATTTGACATTTGATTACAGCGACAGATTTAGCCTATAATACGATACAATAAGATAGCATACCATGACACGATACCATGCAATACGACACCATGCCATATGATACGATACCATATAATACAACATGATACGATGTGATGCCATATGATACCATACAATATAGGGTTATAGAGGACCTACATTTTTTCATAGCTGCCCCACGTGTATATAAAAATTCAGAGAAAGCATGCCTGAGTTTTGCTCCTCAAATCTTTATTAAGACTCTTAATCAGGTAATTCCAAATAAGATAAAAGCAACTTAATGGAATAAACTCACTCAAAGAAAAAAATGTAATGTCCTCAATTACATTTTTGTAAGTAATTACAAATCTATAGCTATAATAGAGGTGATGATCCAAAATGTAACAGAGGTAAGCTACCAACACCTTTATAAAACTTAGGAAAACACAAAAAGTGCCTAATGTTCACTGTTGATCTGATGGTTCTTATGTACTATTTCTGTTCATTTCATGTTTAAGCAGGCCCAAGCTACCTCTTCCTCCCCTAATTCCCCTTCTCTTCACTACACCTATTATTCCTCTTGTTGTTCTAATTGGGCCTGTTAGGACACTTGCAAGAATGTTGTATTGCCCCATCATGCATCTTTTACCTCACAACCAAAACACTGACATTGACTATTTCAGGAAAATCCTCGACTCATGCATTGCAACTCTACATCTCAGCAGAGCCTGGGAGGGAGAATAAAGTACCTGGAGTTATCTCTGTCTCACTGTCTCTGCAGTAGAAAAGGGAATCATGGAAGGTGTGCTTGCTGTTAAAACTGTGATGGTAGTTGTGATTGCAGCACACTGTGGAGCTGTGCCCGCCACTACACCCAGCCAAGAAGACCTGTCTAAAGCCCAGGTAAACATGTGGTGTTCTCTATGTTCAAATATTTGTTTGTTGGTGTTATTTAACCACGCACTATCACTATCAGGGAGAGAAGAGCAGTCAGTGTTTCTTATTCTATAAGATCCATATTTTTTGTGCATTGCACATTATACCAGACGCTTTGGCTCACCTTTTTAGTGCAGAGGATTTTTAAATGATTAATGTGGGTTTGTCATAGAGTTTGTCATGCTGAACAATTTGAACTAGCAAACAAGCCTTGCCGATTTCAGTGCAGGGCATTTTTATGTGGAGTTTTCAATAAACATGGTGTTTTCTTTAAGCACATACACAATGTGTATTTTCAGATATGCTGGGTATATAGTATAGTGGGTGATTATACAGTCTTTATTGCCATGGTCTAAGTACCAGTAATTCAAAGATAAAGTTAACTTCAGGGTTGATTTTGTGACACCTATAGTCACTGGTGTTAAAGGCTAGTGTGGTTTAAAACTGCAGGCCCCAGGGTTGTGGGAGCAGCAAGCACTTCTTGAGCAGCTAATTTGTCAGAATTACAACAAAAGAGCAACAACTGTATTATTGATACTGATTATGATTATTATGCCGTGAGTAGCCACACAATAACTGGGAACAGTAAACGGAGATGGTTAGCTTGCTGAGTAGTTGGAGATCGCTCTTCATCTACAGCTCACTGTCACTTCTCCCGACTGTTCTATTACACCCTAACATTGATCAACTGTAAAACAAAATGACCCAATACTCCCATTTTGTAGGAGCATTTTTAATGAACGATAATTGTTAATACTAAACACTTGATAATAATAGCCACCCCCCAATACAGCTCTGATACAGCTTTAGGAGAGTGAAGAGTAATAGTGGGGCTGATATCAATAAGATAAAATTACAAATACTTGAATACTTGAATTAGGTGCATACAGTGTTCTGGATCCAGCGCAGGAATGGCAGACCTCACCACTCACAATATAAACGACCATACAGAATGTAAATAATCTGAATGGCTATTGCAGAATGAATGCTGACCATTAATCCATAAAACCATCTAATCAGTCAAATTAATCATATATGGAATTTAATCTGTATTATGAGAATTTTTTATTCCTGTTTTCTCTGTGCAGGACTATCTGTCTCAGTTTTTTTCTGATGTGGGTGTCAGTGCCCCCAACAGTATCTGGCGCAGCTCTCTAGATTCCTTTGAAGACACTCTCAGAAAAATGCAGGAGTATTTTGGACTGGAGGTGACTGGGCAGTTGGACTCCAACACCCTGGAAGTGATGGCTCGACCCCGCTGTGGTTTCACAGATGTGGCCAGATATAGCCATTTTGATGGTCGACCAAAGTGGGGCAAGCCTGTGGTCACATACAGGTACTACACTAGCTCTCTATGTGAGAACAAAGAGCAACAAGTCTCTGCAAGCAGTTCGCCCAAAAAGTACAACTAGAAACATGATTCAACAGTGAAGCAGTTGTTGACCACTTGTGGCTCCTATCGGTTAGTTAAAGGTCCAGTGTGTAACATTTAGTGGCATCTAGCGTGTAGATTACAACCTTCTCGCCTCACCCTCCCATTTCAAGTGCTTAGGAGGAGAAATGGGCGATGAAACTTGCAAAAAAAACAGAAAGGCAGGCCGAACAGAAGCTCACCTGGCAGAGCGCGGCGCCCTTGCAGGCTGAGTCCTTGTTGCGGCGGCCTGGGTTTCATTCCAACCTGCAGCCCTTTGCTGCATGTCGTACCCCTCTCTCTTTCTCTCTCCCCGTTTCCTGTATATCTTCACCTCTCCTATCAAATAAAGGCCTAAAAACACACAAAAAAACCTGAAAGGCCTTATGTAGAGCCAGTGTTTGTTTTGTCAGCTCTAGGCTACTGTAGAAACAGCAGTTCAACATCTATATAAGAGGACCCCCTCCCTCTGCAGATAAAAATGGGTCTTTTTAAAGTAACGGAAACACAGTGATTCCTATATTCAGGTGATTATTCACTAATGAAAACACACCATTCAATTTCTGCCTATAGGCTTATGATAAAGCTCCTCTGAGATTTTGTGAACCATTTTCATTCTCATTCTGCTGTAGGATAACTAACTACACACCAGATCTGAGACAGAGTGATGTGGATGCCACCTTAGCCAAGGCTCTGAAACTCTACAGTGACGTCATTCCTCTGGATTTTAGGCAGATCTACAGTGGCACTGCTGACATTATGATCATATTCAAGGCCAGAGGTAATACAGTACTTTAAGCGCTTTTGAGGAAATGTTTGATCTAGTGCTAACTGTACTCTCCCCTCAAAACCAGACCATGGAGATTTTTCTCCATTCGATGGCAAGAGTGGCGTCTTGGCCCATGCATTCTCCCCTGGAGAAGGCAACGGAGGTGATACCCATTTTGATGAAGATGAAGTCTGGACTCTAACCTCAGCAGGTGCTCACATTAAGGAAACATTATTATTGAGGTGATATAACACTGAAAACACTGATACTATGATTACACACACAGTAACTTTATCAGTGTGTATCTGCAGGAACAAACCTGTTCTTGGTGGCAGCCCATGAGTTTGGCCATGCACTGGGATTAGCCCACTCTCAGGTCCAGACAGCCCTGATGTACCCCACCTACCAGTATGTGACCACAGAGGGATATGCGCTACCAGATGATGACAGACGGGGAGTACAGGCTATTTACGGTGAGAGCTCAACTAATTTACAGACAGATTTTTGCAAGAAACAGAGCACCTATCATGAAAGCATAGACAAACACTGAGACTCAAAGATCTTCACCAGTGCCATTTCTTTGTCTTTGGCCTCTCCAAGGAGTCAGAGTGAAACCAGCTCAACCTGAACCAAATCCACAGCCTACCAAAAAACCTGTGCCAAAACCACAACCTAGACCTGAACCAGATCCTGGGCCCACATCAGAACCTTTTCCAGACAGGTGCAACAGGAACTTGATTTTTGATGCTGCAACCTCCAGCCAGAGCAATATTTACTTCTTCAAAGATGGGTGAGACATCTCTGCACTGTTTTATATTTTGGTCATGCAAGTTTCACAAACACATGATAGTCCGTTAGATAGAGCTGTTAAGTTAAATTCATTCAGTAAGATTTTACAGTATATGACCACTGTTTCTTTTACAGATATTTCTGGAGGAGGAGCAGCTCCTGGGATGGCATCAGTATGAACAGAATACAGACTGTCTGGCCTGGAATCAGCAAAGTTGATGCTGCTTATGAGTATAAGAATACTATTTTATTTGAAGGTAAAAACATTTATTTAGTTAATAATTATTTTGTTTTTTCTTGTTTGTTAGAGATGATAAACGCTTGACATAAATGCTGGGATCTGTCTGGAGCACAAGTCTACCTTTTCACATCACAGGGGATCATTACTGGGGGATCAGAGGAAGGACTGTCCTACCTGGTTATCCCAAACCTCTCAGCGACTTTGGCTTTCCCCCATCTGTAACCAAGGTAGATGCTGCTGTCCATGTGTCATTCATAGGCAGGACCCTCCTCTTTGTGAGGAACAAATACTGGAGGTGAGTAATGTCTAGCCATAGAGATCTAGGTTGAATCCAGATATAGACCACATGTTGATGAACTCTTCCCCATATTACCCATATAGCTACAATGAAAGGAGGGGCAGAATGGATGGTGGGTACCCAAAATTCATTCACAGAGCGCTCCCTGGGATTGGCTACAGAGTAGATGCTGCATTTGAGAACGGAGGTAGGAAACAGTCAAAGGTTAGACCATCTACAGTAGCATAATGACTTCCTGTTTGGGGTGATAATAATGATGCATTCCTGTTTTCAGGTTATCTCTACTTTTCATACGGATCCAGACAGACAGAGTACCACTACCAACGAAGAAAAGTGCGACGCATCCTGTTAAACTATGGATGGTTGGATTGCAACTAAAGAAACAAAGACCCAAATCACACACACACACACACACACACACACACACACACACACACACACACACACACACACACACACACACACTTGTGGGCACATAATAGTAGCTATAGTCTACTCCACTAACAAAACTTGAGTAGCTTAAAGTCAAAAATATGTTTTCCTTCTTGTTCCTACAGTTGGATGTTTGAGCGACACTGTACAGAATCATGTATGTCCATAGTGTCACACTAGAAGGAAGGACTTAAAGTTGTGTTAAAGTTGGAGATATCTTGTGTCCAGCAGGAACATTTTAGAAATGAAAAAAAAAAATGCATATTCATATATTCTGGAATTTTTAATGAGGTGGAAGGAGTAGATGCCTTTTTCAGGATTTAATGTGGAAATTATACTTTTTCTTTGTGGAAAAAACATATCATTATTTTTCCAAGCTGACTGTCTGGAGGGGATCTTTAAGGGGGCTTTTCTGTAGAAACCTGCATAGAAATACATAATGAAATGGTATAATAATCCTGTAGGCACCACCTAGTTGTAGTCAATGTTTTTTATAAAATAAACATAAATAATTCATTAAATAAATAATAAATATACTCTGGTTTGTGTTTAAGTGCGGGTGACTTAAGTAGGAGATAATTTATCTTTCCCAGAACCCAGAAGAGTCATGCGGCTGAGAGCGATGAGAGCAAAAGGAAAAACAATCACACACACTCAAAATTGCAGAACCACAGTTATCATTTTAAAGGCCTTAGTTGGACAAGAGCACTCTAGGTGGTAGGAGCTGAAAGAGAGAGGATGCCTCAAGGGTTAGCATCATGGCTTTAAGGGGCCATTCTGCCCGTTTTTATAGCTTCAATTAGTGCATCAATGTGATAAGAACTACTTAAAATGACAGAAACCATCTTTGGGAAAAATTTATTTGATGTGTACTTTACTTTTAGTCTGGCCCATGCACCAACATGGAGGCAGCTGGCTTTATGACCTATACTGCAGTTGGCCACCGGGGGGCAATAGACATATTTTGGCTTCAAATATATGCAATATTGCAGTGCAGAGTATTCTGTTTCTGTAGTTTGACTAATGCTCAGTGTTGCGGTAGTATTTGGGTAGTATCAAACTGCAATGTGAAGTAGGCTTAGACAGTAGTTTTTAGTGATACTTTGTACCACAAGGACAGTAAACTCTGCTCCACTGTTCTCTATGCCAGTGGTTCCTATCCATTTGGGTCTGGACCCCACGAAGACGTGTGTAAGAAAAACTGTAAAAATATACATTTTCCAGTGCCATTTCTGTGAAGTGTAGGCTACCTGTAATATTACTAAAACATTATTATAAATGAGTTACACTACTCATTACTGGAGAATGTAATATCACTGTCATTGCAATTGTAAATGCATTACTGCCCAACACCGTTCATAAGTAGGACTCTTTTACGGTCAATACATGTGCTTAATCAAACGGTTAAATTGTCCTTTAGCGAGAACTAGGTAATGAAGATAATACATTTACAATTTTTATGAAATAAAAAAACATGTCAACATTCACCGTTTTATAATATATTGTTCATATCATACATGATAAAACTGCTGAAAAAAATATATCAGTACGATATATGTTTTTTAGGAATTGTAAAAGTCGTTTTTTTATATGTTAATGCTGAAATTATCAGTATAATAACTTATATTTGATAATAATAAACACGCTTTGTGATTTCATTGATAAAACTACAATAACCATAATTCCCAGCTGACGATGACGTCTGGGGGGCACACCTCTCACTGTGATTGGCTGATGTATTTATCTCTCCGCTGCATGGCTGTCTGAAGGTGAAGCGGGTCCAAGTGTGTGAGTCACAGTCCCGTCTCCGAGTCCAAAATGTCATCCAGTGGACTTTTAACCATGCACGCTCAAATGTGTAAACGCCTGGTAAGTGAGGGCGTGTAAAATAATTAGTTTGGGTTTGCCTGCTCTCGTTATATTGCATTGAAACGGTAGTTTTAGGAACTGTCCGGTTGGCTGTAAACACAAGGCCCGGGTTAACTTAGAGCAGCTCAGCTAGCCTTTTTGTGTCTGCGGAGCGTCCTTGAGCAAAGTTACGTTACAGCCTGGAAACAGCTGATAACTGCTCCAGGTGGCTCGGACGCTTTAGTGAAGCTCTGTTTGTGTAAACGGTGTAACAACAAGGTCTGCTAGTCCGTACAATAACCGAGGAGAAGAATAACAACAGTAGCTAGCATAACTGAGGATATTAAAAGCCAAAGATGGGTCGTACAAGTTTGACTGACTCGACACCTAGCTTAAATGCAATAAAAGCCCCTGTTTGGTCACCAGGTTGCTAACGTTAGCTAACATAAGCGTTAACTTACATGTCTGTGTCCTTTTTTATTGTTAGCATAGCTAACGTATTTCTCATGCTTCTCTGCTAGCTTAAAACTTGACTCATTTTACCCCAAAATTGTATCGAGGAGCTTTAGCACACTTTTGGAGAGATAGGATTAGAAATAAGAATTCTCTCGTGTATGGAAGATGAATTATCATCTTATAATCATTATTCTGCCATTGTAGGCTCACAAGTACCTCTCAAGAACCTACACATCTCGCCCTTCGCTCAATGTAAGTGACAGGACACATTTCACTTTCAAATTCTCATCTTAACCCAATGTCTGGACTGCACACTGTAATTCAGCTTTGAATGGATTCAGGAGGTCGTCATTGTCAGCGCAGTCCGCACTCCAATGGGCTCCTTCAGAGGCACCCTGGCAGCCGTACCAGCCACCAAACTGGGCTCCATTGCCATTAAGGGAGCTATAGAGAAAGCAGGTATGTTCAGATGGTCAACTTTATTCAGAGAAAAGTATTCTTCTCCATTTAGGAATACATGAAGCATCAGCTGATCATCACCAAGCATGGCTAAGCTAATACACAGATAACAGTTTTTTTTTTACATTCTCTCCGTATCACACGAGTGGGCGACTGGCTGTGTGTATTTAGTGAGGTGACTTCATGTTTCTTGTGTTTAGGAATCGCTCCTGAAGAGGTAAAGGAAGTCTACATGGGCAATGTGCTTCAGGCAGGAGAAGGCCAGGCTCCCACAAGACAGGCCTTGCTTGGAGCAGGTATAAGCACACTGGTATATTTTCACCCTCATTCCAAATATTGGCATTGCACCAAACTTTGATGTCCAGAAACCCGATACAGAGATGATCTATTGACAAATCCAAAATGATTGACGCAGGTACAAAAAGCAAGATTACCATCTCGTTCCCCTTTTTAAAGCTAATATCTCTGTATACATTATTAATCTGTAATGTATGACCAAAGCTACAAAAGCTTTCAGCTGCAGGGTGACACATGCACGGTTTCTCTCAACAGCTCTGAGAGACCTTTTTAGATTATTGTTCATAGTCAAAGTTACAGAAAGGTTGACAGCTAATGTTTTTGTTTTATTCATTGTTTTTTGCGAATATGTCTCTGATTGTATCTTCAGGCTTGACCCTCAGCACTCCAGCAACAACCATCAACAAAGTCTGTGCCTCTGGGATGAAGTCCATCATGATGGCAGCTCAGAGTCTAATGTGTGGACACCAGGTAGCTTTAGCATTAAATACACTGTACAATGTACTGTACATATACCAAACACACATCTGATCCCTGACAAGAAAATGTAAAACTCTGTTATGACCAAAAACAAGCTTTATTTGCCATAAGCTGCTTGATAACTCGAGCTATTACAGCATGGCCTCCATGGACTTGGCCTTGGGACTGTAATTACACATCTTTCAGGCCTTTGACAGAATGTAATTACCAAATCCTGTGAAACGCAATAAGCTACAGAAGAGAGACATTTTTTTTTAGCTGGAATGAAAGTAAACCTTTTCTGTGTGGATTGTGCACTGATGGGATGATGCAAGGGTCCTTGAAATGCTGTTTTCTGAAATAGATAACTTGAAGTCTTAAACATAAGAAAATCAGTTTACTAAACTGAAACAATGCTTATAATGCAAATATTGGATCTGATGTAATGATTACAGATTTTAAAGACAAATGTAATTATTACTGCATTAATAAAAGTGAGGTTTTCAAAGACATCTTGCAAAAGGGGGCCCTGACTATAAGCTAATTCCTATTGGGGGGGCCTTGACATGGAAAAGTTTGGGAACACCTGTTAAATAATTGTACACATTATGAACCAGTTCTAGTTGACATTGCTGCGAGATGATATCGGTGGACAGATATATCGGTCGGGCTCTACATTCACTCGAGTTACGCAGATATCAGGGATTGAGGTTCAGTGTCAGACAATCGACAATAGACTATAATAGTTGTTACTCCAGTTAAGTGCATGGCTGTCTGTGTGTGATTTTTAGGATGTGATGGTGGCAGGAGGCATGGAGAGCATGTCCAATGTACCTTACGTGATGACCAGAGAGACTCCAGCCTACGGAGGAGTAAGGATGGAAGACCTTATTGTCAAGGATGGACTCACTGATGTCTACAACAAATTCCACATGGTAACTGTCAACCGCTTGTTGAAAATGTCAAGACATCATTCTTATGACTGATGGAGTTTTCTGTTTGAGTGGGGGTTTTCGTAAGTCTGGAGAACAATATTTGTTGGTCCGGGAATCTCTCTCTTTCTCTCTCTCTCTCTCTCTCTCTCTCTCTCTGTCTGTGTGTGTCCGTCCGTCTCAATAATACATTTAACATATAGCTGCCACATAAATTGTGCCATTTTCATATTTGATCTCTTTTCTGTGGCTTTTGCCTCACTGTCTTTAACAGGGCAACTGTGCAGAGAATACAGCCAAGAACAGCAGCATCACCAGAGAGGAGCAGGACACCTACGCCATCGGCTCATACAGCCGCAGCAAGGCAGCATACGAGTCTGGCGTTCTGGCCAAGGAGATTGTACCAGTTAGCATTCCCCAGAAAGGTACAGCAACTTGCCCTAGGGCCAGTGACGTTGGTCATTAACTTCACGTAGCACATATCTGACCTTCACGTGGTTTTGTAGGCAAACC